CAAGCATACACATGGTGCACTCATATCCGTGCAGGCAAAACACCTATACACATATAAAACCTGCATGGTGGCACATTGTGAAATCTCATCACTTATAAGGGATAGGCAAAAGGATCAGAAGTCCAAAGTCATCCTTGACTACAGTTAATTTTAGGCCAACCTGGGCTAAGTGAGACCTTGTCTCAAAAAAAGAAAAGAAAAGAAGAAAGACATTGTCCTGTCATTGTCTCTCCATTGTCCACTGAGGCACAAATGGCTTCTTTGTGTGTCTGGACTTTGCTACTGAGAAATAGAATTGACTCTACCTAAGTCTGCCCGACCCCTAGAATGGCACAGACTGTTATACTAATTTCAAACAAAGAGTTGCCTGATTAATTAGGCCATTTTAAATTCAATTCAGTGTGTTAGGTGTGAAAAATCAATGCTATCCTGCAGGTTGAGGGCTTTTTTTTATGTTAGAATTCATGTTAAATATTTCCAAAATGTAAGGTTGTCTTGGCGACATGAAGAAGAGATGTGATTAATTTAATTTTGGTTGTGTAGAGTGTTTTATCCACTAGAACGAGTCTGTACCTGGCCTTGTATCTTTTTTTTTTTCTTGACAAATAGGTCTTTTGAACACAGACAACTGAAGCACACACAACAGGGTGGGGTGCCGATGGGGGAGGGGGCTGTGCTTCTGGCTAAGAGCCTCTCAGAGTGGACTACGCTGCAGTAGGGAAAGGGGTCTCTCAGCCCCAGATCTGAAATCTAAAAGACTCTTAAACGGTTTCTTTTCAAGTTTAGCGTGGCGTCTTGGCAGCGATTCTCAACCTGAGGGTCGCCTATCAGAGATCTCCTGGGTATCCGATATTTAACGCGACGATTCGTAACAGTAGCAAAATTGCAGTTATGAAATAGCCAAGAAAATCGTGTTATGGTCGGGGACTGTATTAAAGGGGCACAGCGTGAGGAAGGCGGGGAACCACTGAGCTGAAGTAACATGGAGTATAACTTTAGAGGGCATTGAGAGAAGAGGATCTTGTGGTGTCTCGATATGACACAAACCTGGATCATGGTCCCTGAAAGATGGCCACCGATCAGGAACCAGCACCTCAGACCTTTGGTTGGGTTTTCATTTTCATTTGCTTCTGTGCAGAGTTTCTTAAACAAAAGCAGGCAGGAGGTGAGGGGACAACAAAGGGAAGGAAAGAGGGTAGGGATTGGGAGAAAGAGAAGGACTGAGGTGAGGGAGAAGGGGAGGGAAGGAGGGAGGGAGGGAGGGAGGGAGGAAGGGGGGAATGCTGCCCCAGGCAAACCAGCAGGAAAGGTTCTTTGTGAACCTTCTAAAGCATGACCTTGGAGCCATCCTTCCACATCCAAAGATCTGAAGATCCTGGGAGCTGGGAGCGGCAGGAGGACTCCCAGCAGAGAAGAGGACCCCCAGCAGAGGGGAGGACTCCCAGCAGAGGGGAGGACTCCCAGCAGAGAAGAGGACCCTGAGCAAAGGGGAGGACTCCCAGCAGAGGAAAGGACCTTCAGCAGAGGGGAGGACCTCCAGCAGAGGGGAGGACCTCCAGCAGGGGGGAAGACTCCCAGCAGAGGGGAGGACCCCAGCAAAGGGGAAGACTCCCAGCAGAACAGACCGAAGGTGGTTGGTTGGGGTTACTACTGGCTCCTCCCAGTGGCTATGACCTTCTAAGTGGCCTTTTTGGCTTGTCCAACTTGTCCATCAGCCCTTGCTTCTTTGTCAGCTGTGCTGGTCTCCTTCCTTGGTAGGCACGAGAGAGGATGTTTTGTTTCATAACTTCAAATGAATGTTAGATGTCATTTAAGACCAGGCTATTTGATGTGACCAAGTGTCGGGAACTCGCAGAGTGTCCCACTCGCTTGTCTCAGGTGAGACCTCCCTACCAAGAGTATTTGGCCACCGAACTACCCCAATGAAACCTGAAGGAGGGGCTGGGCTCCCACAGTCCAGGCTGAAGGGGGACTTCTCTGTCTGCTGAGGCCTCAGGCGGACTCTGAAGTGAAAGCCCTGCCAGCGTCTGAGTTGCTCTGAGAGGAGCAGATGCCTGGCCTGAGCTGGGACTTGGTTGTTCTCCACACACTCCCACTAGCCCTTGGCACTGGCCCCAGGGGGTAGGCCGTGGGGGTGGCGCTCTATGGCAACTTGCTCTTCAGCTGAGTGGAGCTGGGAGTCTTCTGCAGCTGCTGTTCTGTGCCTGCCTGTTCTGTGGGCAGAGTTCTGGGAACGGGCTCAATCCCGAGTTGTAACCAGCTTGCTTTGAGCCTCCCAGCCTCCCTTGTAGGAATGGGGTTTTCCCTGCCTGGGCAAGTTCACTCCTCTGTTTCAGAAGTATGAATTTAGTTTCTAGAAACCTGTAGAAGTACATTTTAGAACCAGTGAGTGCTCACCACAAAGCCCCAGACAACATGAGTTCAATCCATTTACCAAAGGAGGGAACCAACTCCTGCAGGTCTTCTGCCTTCACCACCACTGTCCTCCCCCATCCCTCCCCCCTAAAAAAAAGGAAGGGAGGGAGGCTGGATCTGGAGAGTTAGCCTCAGCAGTTAAAAGCCCTTGCTGCTCTTCCAGCGGACCAGAGTTTAGTTCCCAGCAGGTACCAGGCATGCACACAGTACGTATACATACATGCAGACAAACATACACATAAAATAAATCTAAAAAGAAAGGTTTAAAAGCAACGTTTAAAACCTGTTTCTTCCAGAGTATTCCTTGAGGCTCGGGGGGTGGGGGGGGACTTTGTGCTCTAGCCAACACAGCTAGCCCTCACCACCGGGCAGGGTGCGTTAGGTGTGATACTCCTCCCTCAGTTTTGTGTTCTGCAGAGAGAACTGTTTAGGTTTCTTTAACCTTTATCGCAGACTTATCACACTGAAACCTTTCATTATCTCGCCCCATCCCCCCCACTTTGAACCTTCTCCAAAAAAAAAAAAAAAACCCGAATCTTTTCAGTTCGGGAGACCATAACTTAATTAGATCTCTCATTTCCAGAGGATTCTTGTGGCTCCTCCAAAGAAATAAATTAAATTTCAGTCAGCTGTATTTCATTGGGGGAAGGGTGCAAGACAAAGAAATTGGATGCTCTGTATAAATAGCACATTGTCTGGGCTGGAAAGGAGTTCTCCTCATTCCAATTGTTTTTGGAACAATGGCTCCTTCTGGGGGCCATTGAATAGCCTCCAGCTCCCCCTGACTGGTGGGCTTCGGTGTGTTTGAGGCTCCTCTACCTAAAAAAAGGGAGGCCTGGGTCTCAGCCCTGGGCAGCTTTCAAAGATGTGTTAGTGGGGGATGAGAGTGCTCCCTGCTTCTGGCTGGTTTTGACCAGCTTCCTTTCCCAGGGGTCTGCCTCAGAGTTTCTCTGGGACTTCATCTCAGTGAGTTAAGTTTGTATCTCACGGTGTTGTTCCAGGTACCTGATCACCGGAGGAGCCAGGCTGGGAGAAAAGCCAGGCCTGACTTAGCTCTCAGTGGTGGTAGAACCCCAGCCCCTTTGCTAAGCGGTGCCTGTCAGGCTGCTTTGAGCAGATTTCTTCACACCTCTCCACTGGAGTTTTCCTTGGGAGACTGGAGAAACTGGGCTCACGAATGATGTCTGAGATCCTTCCCAGCGTGACCCCGTGTGGCTCTGAGTGGTCCATAGAGGGAGAGGGGGGGAGAGAGAGAGAGAGAGAGAGAGAGGGAGAGGGAGAGGGAGGCAGGCCCAGGTTCCACAGGCGAGAAGGAAAAGGATGCTTGAGAAGAGTGACAGTTCAATTTGAATTTCGTCCCTTCCCTTCTGCCCAGAACGACCCCAAGGCAGTGTTGTGGACGGATATCTAAAGTGATCACCTATTGGTGGCCTGCTTTGAAAATGATCTCTTACTAGCTACCTGTGACGTGTGTCAGGCACTGGCCAAGGCTCCATATAATACTAACCATCCATGACAGAGTAGAGGCACTAGGTGTCTTTCACTTCCAGGCCACCTCTCCCCTCCCTATGAGTCGTCACCTTACAGTTCACAACGCCTCTGCCTCGGTGCTGTCATTGGACTTCTGTATATTGTCAAGGTTCCCAGGCATTCCCACTACCACTACTATTGAGTCAAAGTCTCACCTTGTGGCCCTGGCTGGCCCGGAATTCTCTATGTAAACCAAGCCAACCTCTGCTTCCCCAGTGCTGGATCAAAGACGTGTGCCGCCTTACCCAGTTCCCTCCATGGTTCTTGCCCCCAGTCTAATCAGATAGTTAGAGTCTAGCTTCTGTCTTCCTGCCTACTGGATCAAATTCCACTGGGACAGGGACCATGTGAACCCAGAACTTTGTGGCTGACAGACTTGGCCTTGCAGGGCTCCTTGCAGGCTTGCAAGTCTCACTGCAGGGAGCCTTGTTTAGCTATTGGCCCATCACCAGGAGGGCCCATCATCAGCAGTCTCTCCAGAAGTAACTGGTAGTAGCACCTCCTAGCTCTGTTTTGTCCCCAAAGATGTCTGTAAATAATTGGAGATGATGGATCTCCTGGGTTGTTGGGGCATAGAAAAGGAGGAAGGAGTGAGTTTAGCCAAGCATCCTTGTAGATATTTAGCACCACAGCGTCCCGTCCTTCCTCACCCATTTCCATCAAGGGTTGTGAGTAAGAATCCGTTCTGTAGGGGATCTAGGTCATTGGAAATGAGTGGGTGAAAATCAAGGAGAAAAAGCAAAGACAGGACAACTTTTAGGGAAGTGAAAATAAAAAAACCCTAATGTGGAAACAACTGAAAATAGACGATGGGTTGTCAGGCTGCATGCAAATCCAATGCTAATTACATGGAAATTGATGACTGGTCCTCAACTTCCACCTGCCTTCCTGAGACCCTTGGGGAGCCCCTGCTGCAGGCATCTTTCCTACGCCAGCCAGCCAGCCACATAGCTGTGTAGCAAACTGATTGTCGCCCCTGCCCACGCCACCCTGGTGAGGAGAGCTGAAAGGGAGGCTAAAAATAGTAACAATAGATATTTGGTTTCTTTTTGCAGACAAAAGGCTCTGGCATCCACTGGAGGAAGAAGCGTTCAGGCAGCATGTGACTGGTTGGTATGAAATAAATAAATAGAGAAAATAGCATGTAATTAACTCTGTCTATGATGAGTACGGGTGTGCAGTCTTTCTCTAATGGACCCTTCCAGAAGGGAGAAGAGACAGGCCCATTTATCAAGCTGACTGCCTCCTCTGCCCTGGCACCAGGGTATGTGTATCTCCTTGGATCTGTTTAAAGGCTTTCAAACTCCTCCCCATAGAGGCTCACATTATCGGAGGCCTGCCAGTCACCTCTGTGAGATTCGCTGTGGGTGGAGGCTGAGCTGGCCAATTTAGAAAAATGTCCCACTCATTTACCAGGATGTCATCCTCAAGGAGAAGCCCACAGGCCACCCTGCTGGGCTTTCCTGTTGCTTTGGAGGCACAAGAGCTCCAGAGTAGGCCGAGCTGAAGGACTCCGGTGTGTGCAAGGAAACTCCTCTGTGGAGAATGGATTTGGAGTTAACCCAAGGAAGCTTCCTGGAGAGCAGCTTTGGGTTTTTTTAGGGAGTTGTGGGATGAGGAGAACAGAAGCCTCTCCATCTGAGAGTTGGTAGGGTGTGTAAGCTCCAAAGGATGGGTTTTTGCAGCACAAATGGAAGCTGTTCTCCGTGTGGTCCTGGGGTGGGAAGCCTGGACAGCGATGGGCCTGACTCTTCTCTTCCTCCTCATCCATTGCTCTCCCAAAAGGCTTTCTTGTCTCTCTTATCTCCCACAGGTTGTTCTCCCATGTCGGCGACCCCTTCCTTGATGACCCCCTGCCTCGAGAGTATGTCCTCTACCTCCGCCCGACTGGTCCATTAGCCCAGAAGCTCTCTGACTTCTGGCAGCAGTCCAAGCAGATCTGTGGGAAGAACAAGGCCCACAACATCTTCCCACACATCACCCTTTGCCAGTTCTTCATGGTGAGCCACACTGCACACCCTGTCTCCCCACCACCATACTCCCAGTGTCTCAGACAGCCCCCAGGGACCAGGACTGATGATCGGAGATTTTCCAGAAGTCTAAGGGGATCTTTAGGAACTCACAGCATGGAGTGAACCTCCCAGAGGTCATATTGGTCCACAGTGAGGGCCTTACCCTACTTGCTGTCTCGGGGCATCGGCTGAGGCCCTAGAACATCTGGGTTCAGTGCATCAGGACAACAATCTACTTCTACAACCAAAAGAATAAGCCTGACCCTTGGCGAGTGGAAGTCTGGCCTGTCAGCCGTTGATGTAGCTTCTTCATAGGTTGTTTACTGTCTACTCACTCCACCTTAGGATAGAAATATCCCTCTGTGTGTGTGTGTGTGTGTGTGTGTGTGTGTGTCTGTGTGTGTCTGTGTGTGTCTGTGTGTGTGTCTGTGTGTGTGTGTATGTGTCTGTGTGTGTGTCTGTGTGTGTGTGTGTGTGCACACATAAGCGCCTCATTTACCTCAGATGTAAGTTCTCAGTTCTCTATCCATCCACCTTGTAGTCCAACCTGAAACTCACTAAGGCAGGCTGAATGGCCGGTAAGCCCTCAGAGATGTCTCCAGTCTCAACTTCCCCTGATCCTGGGATCGCAAGCCTATGCTAGCCCACCCAGCTTTTTTAGGTAGTTCTGGGCCTTGAACTTACATCCTGAAGCTTGTATGGTGTATACTCCAAGTGAACTTTACTCCTTTATTTTTACTTTTAGACAGAGACTCGTAGCCCAGGCTAGCTTAAAGCTTACTCCGTCACTGAGGATGACCAGAAACTCCTGATCTTTGCATTCCTGATCCTCCTGCCTCAACCTCCCAAGTTCTGTGATTTCAGACATGGACCACCATGCCTGGCCAACTCTGAGGGAGGGGAAGGAAAGGAACAGAGAGAGTGGGGAGCTAGATAAGTGGCTTACAGGTAGGAAAAGCCACTCCCCCCACATGACATCACCATGAGGTCTTACTAGAGTTTTCTAGAGACTGAGAGAGAACTCTCTCCAGCCACTCCCTAGCTGTCTGTGGAAAAGCTTGTTTTAGAGGCTAAACCAATCCTCCGTAGTATAACAGATGAAGCAGACATCCCTACTTCCGTTCCCCACACTCGTTCCTCACAGAGCAGGATGGTAGCCTTTTGAAACAATTTTCAAAGGATACATTTTGCTTTGTTTTTTTTTTTCTTTCTGGATGTAATTCTCGATTCTCGTGTGTCTCAGGTAGATAACATGTTCCCAACACCTTGTCTCCCGGCAACTCGCTCTGAAAATTAAATCGATTTTTACTTCCTCTTAGTCATCCCAGGATCTTGCAGGAAAGCGGTTCGGGTTTAGAGACACTCATCCTTCCCCCCAACCCTCCAAAGAGGGTAGGTGGATGACGTCACCACTCCCCAGTCTCATTCTTTCTTCTTCCTAAGGATCATGGGAGTGGTGGTGAAGACAGCAGCTGTCTAAGGAGCAGCTGAAAGAGTGCTGGAGGCTGTGTTCCTGCTTCTTTGTTTGTTCCTCCCTCAGTCCTCCCACTCCTCCTCCTCCTCTCCCTGGTCCTCCTTTGAATCTCAGGTACCTTATTTCCTAGAAACAGGGCCTCTAGCTGCACTGGAACCCCACTTTTTTTTGGGGGGGAGGCTGACTGACTAAGTGAGCTATTGGGTTTCAGCTCCCTCACCCTTCCTGTGCTAGGCTTAACACCCACATGATGGTTCACTACTGTCTATAACTACAGTTCCAGGGGATTCAACACAATATAATTCCAGGGTGCCATGCCTGGAAATTAAACTCCAGTCCTCATGCTCCCAAAGCAAACACTCTGTCACGTTGGTTCATCTCCCTAGCCTACCTTTTTGGCAGGGACATGGATAGGGGGCAGGGTCTCACGTATCCCCCCACCCCCGATAACCTAGAACTCACTATAGCTGAGGATGACCTTGAGCTACCCTGCCTTCACTTTCTCAGTGCTGAGTTTGCAGATGTGACAAGACCACATCTGATTTATTTCTCCCCCACCCAATTTTATGTGGCTCTGGGGATGGAGTCCTCCGCTTCCAGCACACGAGGCAAGCACTCTACCAGCTCAGCCATGTCCTCTATTCCGCCCTCTGGATTATTTTTACATTTTGTTTTATTTTATGTTTATAGGTGTATGTCTGTGCACTACTTTCATACCTGGTACACACAGAGGCCCAAGGAGGGTGTTGAGTCTCTTGGAACTGAAGTTATAGACAGTTGTGAACCATCATGTAGATGCTGGGAACCAAATGTGGGTCCTCGGCAAGAACAGTGTCTCAGTTAGGGTTTTACTGCTGTGAACAGATACCATGACCAAGGCAACTCTTATAAGGACAACATTTAATTGGGGCTGGCTGTCAGGTTCAGAGATTCAGTCCATTATCATCAAGGCAGGAGCACGGCAGTAACCAGGCAGACATGGTACAGGAGGAGCTGAGAGTTCTCCATCTTCATCTGAAGGCTGCTAGCTAGGATGAAGGTCTTAAAGCCCACACCCGCAGTGACACACCTACTCCAACAAGGCTATACCTTCAACACCACTCCCTGGGCTGGGCATATATAAACCATCACAAACAGCAAATGTTCTTAACCTCTGAGCCATCTATCTCCCTGGCCCCGAGAACTTACGTAATTGACAGATTTTGGTATCTGTGTGATTGTTTGATTTATGTAAGCATTATACAATGTTGACTGAGCCAATTCTTATATACACTGCTTGTCGTCTTTGTTCATTTGTGGTAAGAACTTGACCACCTACTACATTCATCTTCTTTCTGCCTTTGGGGCCCTGAATTGAGCACAGGGCCTCTCGGATGCTAAGAAAGGGCTCTAACCCTGCACCCCATTCCCAGCCCTAAAATCTACCCTTTTAGCAGTTTTCAAGAATACATCACGTGCCGGGCGGTGGTGGTGCATGCCTTTAATCCCAGCACTTGGGAGGCAGAGGCAGGCGGATTTCTGAGTTTGAGGCCAGCCTGGTCTACAGAGTGAGTTCCAGGACAGCCAGGGCTACACAGAGAAACCCTGTCTTGAAAAACCAAAAAAAAAAAAAAAAAAAAAAAAAGAATACATCACGTGGCTTCTAGCTGTTGTGACCATACTGTCTTATATTTACTCTGAAATTGTGTTTCCTTTAACCAACACCTCGACCCCAACCCTGGGTTTTTTGTTTTCTGTTTAACCAATCAGACAGCATTCTGGCAAGGTTCCCAGGAACCACAACAGATCAAGAGGAGGAGAAGAGCTGTCATGAGGCCTTCCTTAGTTTCATCTGCCCTCTGGATAATCAGTGTCTGGATAGTTGAGATCCCAAAGCTCTTCCCTTCTTCATGGACAGGAGTGCTGGTTGGGTCATTGCATCATCAGCCTTGGCTCTCTAGAGACAGGCTGAGTGCTGAGGGGCTGCAGGCTTCTCTCTGGACTCTAATGAAGCCTGTCTGGTTTCCGTCCCCAGTGCGAGGACAGCAAGGTGGACGCTCTAGGAGAAGCCCTGCAGACTACTGTCAGTCGATGGAAATGTAAGTTCTCAGCCCCGCTGCCCCTGGAGCTGTACACCTCCTCCAACTTCATCGGGCTCTTCGTGAAGGAAGACAGCGCCGAGGTCCTCAAGAAGTTCGCGGCTGACTTTGCCGCCGAGGCTGCATCCAAAACAGGTAAAAACACCCATGGCTGTCAGTCCAGTCCTGGATCTCAGTATCAGAGGTCAAAAGGACACGGATGGGAGACAGTTATGGGGCAGTCAACGTACAAAGAGGATCGAATTTATTTTGGTTCCACAGTTTTTAGTCAATGGTGGTTGGTCCACTGTAGCCTGTAGGCCTGTGGTGAGAGAACATCCTGCTCACCTCAAGGGGGCCAGGAAGCAGGAGGAGTGAGCACAAGGGCTCGGGTCCCAAGGTCCCCTTCAAAGGCACATCTTAAATAACCTAAGTTCGTCTCAGTAGACTCCACCTCTTCCCAGTGGTACCACAGGCTGGTGGCCAAGCCTTCAACATGATGTGGAGGAATTTTAAGATCAGACGGTACCCTCTGCAGAGGAGAAGGCTGGAGACAGGAGGTAGAGAAGATCATGCAAAAATGGACCTCTCTAGCAAAGAACGTCCCATATCCCTCGTGGAAATGTTACACCTCTTTGCATTCTGCCGACCTGCCAAAGAGCTCGCCCATGTCTTGTTCCCCGACTCCCGGGGACTTAACTGTTCACACTGAACTGTAAAGGTAGCCCTTTGTAGTCTCCATCTCCTCTGGTGCAGATCTGAGGGAACATCCTTCATCTTCTAAGCTTTTATCTGGAGCTGACCATTCATTGCTTGCATAGCCCTGGACGTAGTGGAGTAAAGCCACTGTATAGTGAATCGTGAAAATATTCACCAAGTTGAAGAGTGTTGGGCCATCGGATTATTTTATTGTACAGTTGATAATTGAAATAAGATCTCATGTAGCCCAGGCTGACCTCAAAGTTATTTTGTAGCTAAGGCTGGGCCATGAACTTTTAATCTTCCTGTGTCCAGCTCCTGGGTGCTGGGATTCTAGCTGTGCACCACCACCGTTCCTGGGGATAGAATCCAGGGGTTCATGCTTGTTCTCCCAATGCAGCTGAGCTAAATCCCAAACCCCTGAATCCAAGTGCTGAATGAAAAACCAGGGGGATACCCACAGCTCTCCAGCCATACATGTAGGCGTGGCCAAAAGGCTCAAGACCTGATCCAAGCTACACAATTTACTCCTTTGTTTCCTTTGTCTCCTTAGTCAGCGGTTATCCTACAGGGTGTTGGTCTTCACTGATGTTTGCATTGGGTGTGTGGTAGTCCTTCAGAGAAGCCCCCACATAGAGCTTAGCCCAAACCACTGCAGTGTCTGCCCTCAAAAGAATTGTGGGTCCTGAAGAGACTCCCTGTGGTTTGGGGAGAGCATCTTCTTCTATTGAATTCCCTCCTTTCTGCCAGGGACCAGCCATGGGTTTACTAAATTAACAGAGAAAGGAAACATTTCAGAGAGATAGAATAACAAAGGGAAAACCACCTCTCTTCTTATCCATTGCCCTTGAAGAAATTTTTTAAGTCCCGCTAGATGTTGTCAGCCCACTAAATCACTACAAGAACCAAACAAAGCCTCATATCCTTTACAAATCAGGAAAGCAGGACTGTGGCGGGCTCTTAAAGTGCAGACGGAATGAGAGACAGTCAATGAACTGGATTCCCACATGGGCGATTGCCAGTCCTTCTCAAGACTCTCCTGTCACTAAAGAACTTGACGGTTTCATGGCTCTGTCCCTGTGGCGCCCCCTCGTGGTGATCTACAGAACTGCACAACCCTGACATCTCTTGCCGAGCTTTGTGGAAAGTAGGTCATTGTGTCTTTGCCCTAGAACTTATCCCTGTGTAGTCTAGAATTACTGGTTCACCCAGATTTCTTCGGCAAGTATATTTAGTGTTGTTCTTCTTTCTGGGTGGCTCGAGAAGGCTCACCCATGTGCATTTATTTCATCAGCAAGTACTGAAGGCCCAGAGTATAGATAGTGGAAACAGCCACAAACACCTGTCTCACAGACTCACTCCACAGAAACGCCCTGCAGTATAATGGGACTAAAACCCAGAAGACTGGCTTCCCGCTCTATCTGACCCAATAATTCTGAGACTTGACTGACTCCTTTCATTTCTTCTTGCTTCTCTCCTGGGAAGTAGACAGTTCTTTCTCATGTAACTTACAAAGGGGAGGTAAAGCTTATCCCTCATGTTGGTAGGTTTGTTCCGCTTTATTTTTAGTGTTTTAGAATAATGGTATGCATACTTCAAATGAGTGGCCCCCCCAACCCAGAGCAGTGTCACCCTCAGGGGACATTTACCAATATGTAGTGTGATTTTGGGGTTATGACTTGGGGTGCTGCTGTCATCCAGGGGGTAGAGGCTGGAGGGGTGTTACTAAACACTCCATGACATCCAGGACAGCTCCCTACAAGTAACTATTGACATACGTGTTGTTGGGAAAGCCTATTTCATACTGTGGGGTCTCCCCAACCCCCTCTTTTTCACCACACTCCCAGAATCCAGGAAATCCGATCCCAGATGAAGACAACCCGCTCACACAGTCACAAACCACACTTTGTATTTCTGCATCAATCACACCGGCCCTTGAGGTCTGCTTTTCTTCATCTGAATGGAAGGGCTGGTGATGAGCCCCTGGACTTGTCAGGATGAGCCAGCCAAAAAGATTAACCCCGAACGCATCCTCAGCTCCTACTGAAAAGCCATCTGTCCTGTGGCTTTTTATCTCTGGAACAGTGGGTTGATTGGGGCCTGGGATCCACCCCTTTAATTCCACTACTCCTCTCCCAGGGACTGGCCTCTTTGTTATTTGGGGAACAGGACACCTTTCTGGGCCCTTTCTTCTGTCTTCTCCATTGTCATAATTTTTTTCTAATCTGAACACTGCCTTTCTTTTCTCCAGAAGTCCATGTGGAGCCTCATAAGAAGCAGCTGCATGTGACACTGGCCTACCATTTCCAAGCCAGCCACCTACCCACCCTAGAGAAGCTTGCCCAGAACATCGATGTCAAGCTAGGGTGCGACTGGGTGGCCACCATATTCTCTAGGGATATCCGATTTGCTAACCATGAGGTAATGCTTCCCTGTAACACTGCATGCTCTCAAGTAAAATCTATGGATACTTGATAATATTCTCACATTTAGAGCATGCAAGGTACTGCTGGGCGTGCAGAATTTTTTTTTTTTAATTTTGCACTCAAGGAGTTTCAAGGACCAGTGAGGTGACTCAGTGGGTGATGGCACTTGCTGTCAAGATGGCACTTGACTTGAGTTCAATTCCTGGAACCCACATGCTAGAAGGAAAGAACGGAACCTTGCAGGTTGTCTTCTGACCCTCCCTGTGCATGTACACACAAACACACACACACACACACAAACACACACACACACACACACTGAATACATCTGTAAGAAAAGAGCTTTGAGTCCAGCAAGGGAGAGAGAACAGACAAATGTAAGAAGAAATCTCTCCTGGTCCCTTTGAGAAGTTGTGGACTCTCCAGTGGAAGATGTCACTGAGCATAACTGAATCCTACGACAGACAAATGGGACTGTTTTAGTGTTCTTCTTTGGATGTTATCAGCATGGCTTTGCAGTCAATCACGTGCCTCTCAGAAGGACCGTGTTAATCTTTTTTATCTTAAAGACGACTCAGAGGTTAACTACCTGCTCTGAAGCAGCCGTAGAGTTGAGGCCACAGGAAGCAGAGTCTCAGTCTTTTTGATCAACAGAGGCAGGTGATCTGTCTAGGGAAAGACCGCATATGGTAGTCCTGCAGTGTTTGCTGTTCCTCTTTCTCTCACGATTTCAGCGAGTAGAAGCTACTGTTTCACAAGTAGTGCTCGGGAGACGGCCCAGTGGAGGGGTCGGAGTGCTTGTGCAAACATGAAGATATGAATTCAAATCTCCAACACTTACAAAAGCCCACATTCCTGTAACCTCAATGTTGAGAGGCCGACAGACAAATCCTAGGAGCTAGCATAGGTTTGTGAATCAGGGCTCCTGGATCACGGAGAGATCCTGTCTCAAGGGAATAAAGTGGCAACCAATAGAAGAAGACACCCAAGGACTCCATATGTGCACACACAGGGTCACAAACACGTGGGGCGTGCACTTGTTACACACACACACACACACACATATATACTACATACATAGTGCACACACACACAAATTCATGACTTTTCAATAACTTTATTACAGTATATTATTAGAACTTCCCTATTTTATTATTGGTTTTGTTCTCAATCTACAAATTAAATTTGATATAGCTATTAATAGAAATATATATATTATATACTTAATATAACATAGAAGTGTGTTTGGCCCTATCTGCAGTTTCAGGCCTACCCTCTGGTTTTTGGAATGAACCCCATGGTTAGTGGATAGCTACTGTAGTTACATGAAAAACTGCCTTCTAGCTTAATTACATTTATTAAGCAATGGTTACATGTTTCTCAATTTTTCAACTATGCCAAAGGCTTTTTGTTGTAGTTGTTGCTATTGTTGTTTTTAGCCTACAGGACCTTTTGACAATTCTTTTATACTTTCTTAACATGTTTTAAAAGAGAGAGAGAGAGCAAAAACCAGAAACAGACAGAATGTCTTACTGTGCCCAGGCAACCTCGTTGTTTGGGAAGTGTTACAAGCCAGTCTGAGAACTAAAGCTTTGAGGTGTGGTGTTGTACTTAGGGAGCAGAGAGGCCAGGCCTTGCCTGACTTTCCTGATGGGAACATTCTTCAGTCATTGGGGCTGATTCCTCCTGAGACAGACTAAGTGGACAACATCTGATCTTGAGAATGTTGACATCTCCTGGAATTACCAAGAATGATCCTTAAGGATAGTAGAGAGACCGGGCAGTGGTACACGCCTTTAATCCCAGCACTTGGGAGGCAGAGGCAGGCAGATTTCTGAGTTCGAGGCCAGCCTGGTCTACAGAGTGAGTCCCAGGACAGCCAGGGCTACACAGAGAAACCCTGTCTCGAGGAGGGGTGGGGGGGAGAAAAGAAAAGAAAAAGGATACTAGAGAGAAGTGTGGTGGCCAGATGCTTTTCCAAGGACAAAGGCATATAAAAGGTCAGGGATGGTTGTACACTGGTCTCAGAGAAGTCACCTCTGTAAGAGGAGAAGGTGCGGTGGAATTTTACAGGGCTTGTCTCCTAATGAACACTGCCCTCCGGTTAACTCCAAGGGTAACTGCTTTTCTGCGTGACCCACATTCTGCTCAGTCTGTGCAGAAGGAAAGAGGCTGCAAATGCCCACATGAATTATTCTAAAAATAACTTGGCCCCCTTTAGCTCGTATGTGCCAAAGCTCAATTATTACAGTCTCTTCTGAGAAGGCACCCTCTGCCCTGCTAGGTTCCCTCTCCGTTCTTTGGGTCTTCTGGAGTCCCTTGGGTGTGTGATGCTCCCACAATTTCTGTAATTTGTAGGCTGGGAATGTAGCTCCGTTTGTAGACACAAGATTTTTTAGTATTATTTTTATTGTATGTGTATGGGTGTTTTGCGTACGTGTGTGTCTGTGTACCATGTGTGCACAGTATCCATGGAGGGCCTAGGAGGGTGTCAGATCCCCCAGAACTGGAGTTACAGAAGATTGTGAGTGCCGGGAGCTGAAGCCGGGTCTTCTGGAAGAGCAGCCGGATCAGGAACCCTGGACCACTAGAAGTACTTCGAGCCCTGTACGGCTCTGTCCTCCTGCATCTCCTTAGAGCATCATATTTACCTTTATAGTCTAGACATTGATGGAGACCAAAGCTGAAAACTCTGAAGATGGGAGTCAGAAATGTGGCCTTTTACTTTCAGATCTAGAGCCTTAGGGAAGGTTCTAGAAGCCTTCTCCACCTTTCTGGCTGTCTGGAAACGCATACGATAGGTTATAATTTTCTTCCTGCGAGGTCTCTCGCTGGTGATAAAAGATCTAAAATAGATGGCTATTTTTTTTAAAAGTGTCTAGGATTATGATGATTAAATATACCAAGAAAAGAAGCACCACCACCACCCCTTCAAGTAGGATACATTGGCCACTTGGCCTGAGCTCATCATGGCTGCCCTGAGGACCTTTTCTGAGCCCAGAGAATGGACATGTGGCCTCCATCTGCTCTCTGGTGGAAGCTGGTTTCTTCCTGGTTACCCACATTGGTGTCTAAGAGAGACAGCTTTTGTTCAGGGTCTTTGTTACAATTGTAGGCTTAAAGAAAGCCATGGACTGTTTTGCCTCATCACCCGAGTCACAGAGAAAGGGTCATCTTTCCCGAGCAGCTCAGAGTGCTGGCTGCTCTTGCAGAAGACCTGGGTTTGGTTCCCAGGACCCATGTGGCAGCTCACAACATTCTGTATAATACAGTTCCAAGGAATCTCATGCCTTCTTCTGTCCTCTGAGGGATCCTGTATACATAGACATCACAGGGAGGGAGAGAGAGAGAGAGAGAGAGAGAGAGAGACAGAGAGACAGAGAGAGACAGAGACAGAGAGACAGACACAGAGAGACACAGAGAGACACAGAGAGACACAGAGAGAGACACAGAGACAGACAGACAGACAGACAGACAGACAGACAGGCAGGCAGGCAGGCAGACAGACAGACATCCTTTATAACTATCCCAGTAGAAGTGACTCCCCCTTGGCCTGTCTATGAGCCCGTGTAAAGACAAGTTTCCTCACACAATCCCCATCTGCCTAGTGCTTGCCACAACAGATGGCGCAGGGGAAATGAATATTTGTATGTCCAGCAATTGCCCAGAAGAAGCTTCCAGCTTTCTGTGAGTTCCAGAAGCACCTGCTTCTGAGTCCTGACAGGAAGTGAAAGCATGGCTGGGATTCCGGAAGGTTCTGGAACACCAGGCACCTACCCATGAAACATTAGTGAGAGAAGTGCTTTCCGATCAGAGAGGCCATGTCTGCCTGCCCAGAGCCTGGGACCCCAAGGAGTCCTATATACACTGCACTTTGTCCTTGTCTATAGAGAGTACCGTCTAGGACGCTAAAAAGAATGGTAGCTGAGTCTGGTCTCACGGCCCTTCTCCCCCCCCCCTTTTTTTTTGCAGACGTTACAGGTGATCTATCCCTATTCACCCCAGAATGATGATGAGCTGGAGTTGGTCCCAGGGGACTTCATCTTCATGTCTCCCATGGAACAGACCAGCACCAGTGAGGGCTGGATCTACGGGACCTCGCTGACCACTGGCTGCTCTGGGCTGCTTCCTGAGAATTACATTACCAAGGCTGATGAGTGTAGCACCTGGATCTTCCATGGGTAGGTAGACCCACTCTCCTGCCCACTCAGGGTCATTGCCTATCCCGGTGCCTGGTGGGTAGCCAGCCTGAGGATGCTGTCCATCTCTGGCTGGAGGGCAGTAACATCCCATGTTGAGAATGCATTGCTACATACATGGCTTCTGTGTATCTCATCCTGGGCCATTACTCTGGGGGCGGGGGGAGCAGCTAGACAGACTCCTTCTATGTCAGCCAGACCAATGACAGAAAGATTCAAAAGTCAGGAACCCACATTTATGAGGTGACCCTGAACAAGTCCCCGGACTTGGTATGTGTGTGCACCTAGGCAACAGAGACTGTGTTCAAGGTGACAGGCAGCTTGTGGGAGCTGAATAGGACCATGATGTCTCACATTCTTTATTAAGGTGACACCCACCTGCCCCTCACTGCTCTGCTGTCCTTAGATCATACTGGGGTCCAATTTCCAGAATGGACCATTTTGTGTGACCAGCTTTGCCCCAGATAGAATTAAATAAGGACACAAAGTGCCTTCCTTCTTCCCAATTCAAGGTGCTCAAATCCAGCCCCAGGTTTCACGAGCTGGTTTGATTTTCCCTCCCCCCTTGTTTCTTCCATGTGGCAATGTAGCTGAGAGGCAGAAGCCTTGAACACCCCACTTCGTTATTTACCTGCCACGGTAGTGCCTGTCTCAAGGGATCAGATCAGGTGGTTCCTGCAAGTATTTCTCCTGGAGAGAAAAGAACCAAGATGGTCCCCTGCTCTGTGAGCCTTAGACAAACCATACATTCAGGGTAGGAAAGGACACCCTCTTCCTCCCTCTGCCTTGTGTGACCCCCTCCCCAGCCCACAGGCATCCAGATGCTACATGTCCCCAAATGTCCATTTTAGGAATGTTTCTGAAGCTGAGACTATGGGAGTTGAGTTTCTGCAGCTGCCATTTTATCCCACAAAGATAAATAAGACCGGGTCGGTGAAGTGTAGCTGCTCACGCTTGTTATTCCAGAGCTGAGAAAGTAGAGATGGGGGGGAGGGGGAATTCAGCCAGGCTAACCTACTTGGTGAGTCTGGGGACAGTGCCTTAAAAAAAAGAAGAAGGAGGAGGAGGAGGAGGAGGAGGAGGAAGAAGAGGAGGAGGAGGAAGAGAAGGAGAAGGAGAAGGAGAAGGAGAAGGAGAAGGAGAAGGAGAAGAAGGAGAAGAAGGAGAAGAAGGAGAAGAAGAAAGGGGAATGGCCGGCAACATAGGAAAGGCACAGAGCCTGATAATCCAAGTCTAAACCACAGGGCACACATGGTGTAAGAAGAAACCCAGTCCACTACATCCATACACACATACACTGTGGCATGTGCACAAACTCAAAGATTAGATAGATAGATACATAGATACATACATAGATACATAGATACATAGATATAAGTGTCCTAAAAATGTGTTGATGGGGGCTGGAGAGATGGCTCAGCAGTTGAGAGGACTGGCCATGCAATCCTAAGGACCAGCGTTCAGATATCAGCACCACAAGGTGGCTCACCAGAAGCTGTAACTCTAGGTCCGAAAGCTCTAGCTCCCTCTTCTGGTCCCCAGAACCCTTTCATATATACTAACACAGGTGTGTACACACACCGAAATAAAAATAAAGACCTTTTTTAAAAGATGGACAGTGACTAAGGAACCCATGGTTGTCTTCTGTCCATCCTCTACCAACACGCACACATACACACACAAATACACACACACACACACATATGCACTCACACATGCACATATATACACACACACAGACACACAAATACAGGCACATATCATAGCATCTAGGTCAGGGTTGGCCCTTGGACACAGTAACAGTCCCTTAAGTTGTGTCACAGGACCCTAGCAGCTTAGTCTAAGCTTATTCTGACGCTATTCAGACAAGTCACCCAGTGATTCGCTCCTGGGAACAGCACCCCAAAGAATGGCTCGAGCATGTGCTGAAAACTGAAGATAACTTGCTTGATGAAGCACAGCTCACAGTGGGGCTGTTGGGGGGGGGGGCAAAGTACACACATGAAGTCCCACTGACCCCCCTGAGAGACCCTCCATCTAAACCACCTCCCTGAACTAGGATTCAGACTGAACCAGGGGAACAACTGACTAACCTCATCCAGGGCACCATGGGAGGCCCATGTGTCATCTCCCCCAGGGCACCAACGGAAGGTCTGTGTGTCATCTCCTTTCACTTTGAAGGTAATTGTTGATGTTTATTCCTTGGGAACTTTGTTTGAAATGAAATTCTCGGTTCCGCAGCCAACTCTGTTATGAGTGTCCAAACGCAAGGGCTAGGCGTTGAGACTCTGACTAAGAAGATAAATTTCAGTCCAGTTATATTCTGATCCTAACTCTCACATAGACCGGCTGTGTAAACCTTGCCCAAGTTGAATTACTACTCTGGGCCACCGTAAAAGAGTGAATCACTCCATATACAGTACAACCTGTGGTAGTGACTACATCTGTGGTGGTTCCACAGCAGTACTGTCTACAGAATGCCCACTAGTGGTTTTGATTATTTTTTTGTCTGTGTTTACCGGACCTCGTTAAGCTAAATGTCTCTTGCGTAAAAATGGCCTGACAGGTAAGTTGCCCATTACTGCTTAGCCCCAGAGGTAGGAATGACACACAGAGGCATAGCTCAGCCCCACTATGAGAGAAACATTCTCGTGTCTAACCAAAGATGGGCAGTCATGGGGAGACACAGGAACCATGTGGCCTGACCCTGGCTGGCTTCAAGAAAAGCTCTAGAGAGTGTTCAGGCAGTAGACAGGGACTCGGGGTGACAGTTGGCTTTTATTCCTGTGCCCACCCAGTGCTCCTTTGCCTTCTGAATACTTAGGAAAATGTTTTCTTTCTCCCTGCTCTTCCTGGTGGTCATTTGTTCCTGAGTGTCCCTAAATACCTTCTGGGTGATGCTGGCCCCTTGTCCTCTAGAGTTGGGGTGACCGGCTGACCCTCACACAGGCCTAACATGTTCTAGGCAGGAGCCTGGATCTTCCTGCTCCCTGAGAAGGAGTTCTCCATGTCAGACCCACTTCTTCTCCACCCTGGTCTGGCACTCTCCCCAGGCTGCTCAGGGGGAGCCTGGTCTTTCGATTCTAGTGACATTGAAGATGGGAGGGAAGCTGCCTTTTCCCTCACCAGGGGAACTGGAGGGAGAGAAAAGGCCCTATCATTTTCTTCCCAGCTGTGATACAATAAAGAACTTACAGACATGGGCAGCGGGGATGTCAGCATGATTCCAGACAGCTAGACATTGGAGGCCTGAAGCTTTGATGAGCCAGACGGGAAAGCTGGAGGTTTCTTCAGTTGTGTGCCATTGGGGAGGCTCTCTACTTAAAATAAAGGGAAACATCTGGTCTATTAGAGTGGCTCAGTGATCCTTGGGCTACAGTCACTTAAATTTACCCATAACAGGTCTAGTTTGTCTGCACATCATACTAAAAAGACACAGCTCTGTTGAGCTGCAAGCTCCTGGTTCTACCTCATAGGCTCTGAGCAGTGGTCTATGAGGAGCAGGATGCAGCTCAGGGCCTCCTGGTGTGTCTGATACGCACAGGGCTGCAGACCTCTTTTTCATGGTCTGACACCTTATCCCTGAACATATAGCCAGGCTGAGGGACACAGCTCGGTTGGCAGAGCGTTTGCCTAGCATGCCGGAAGCTCTGGGTGTGATCTTCAGCATCCTAGAGATGGGTGGTGGCTCATGCCCGTTATCTCATCACTCAGGAAGCAGAAGCAGGATGATCAGGTGTCTGAAGCCAGCCTTGGCTGTGTGTGGAGTTGGAAGCCAGGCTGGACTCTATGAAACCCTGTCTCAAACAAAAACAAAAGCCGGCCTGTCATTTGTAGGGAGAATGCAGGGACACGAAGAACTTTTAAGGGCAAAATGTGTCCCAAAGTAATAAAATCATATGGTTTCTTGAGAAGAAAAAAAAGCAAACAAAAACCCAACCAACTCCTGACCTCTCACCTGACTATGTCACTCAAGGGTATTTACCCACAGGACCTGAAGGCAACATGCAGTGATGTTTATTAAAGGACTGTTCACAGTAGCTAAGTCACGAAATCCATGTATGTGACATACACTTGAATGAATAAGAAAAATGTGGTGAATGTATGCAGTGGAATTTGATTTAGCAAAAACATAAAAAAAATTGTCATTCGTGAATTAAGACAGACTAAACAAATACTATGTATTTGTTTTCTCTTGTTAATCATAAATGTTATTATATAGGTACATAAAATCACCACGCATACATCTGTACATGTGTCTTGAATGTAGACATGAAACTGTTTAAAGGAGTTTGGGGACTGTCTTAGTTAGGGTTTTACTGCTGTGACCAGACACCATAACCAAGGTAGCTCTTATAAGGACAACATTTAATTGGGGCTGGCTTACAGGTTCAGAGGTTCAGTCCATTATCATCAAGGCGGGAACATAGCAGCGTCTGGGCAGACATGGTGCTGGAGGAGCTGAGAGTTCTCCATCTTCATCTGAAGCTAGGAGAAGACTGGCTTCCAGGCATCTAGGATGAGGGTCTTAAAGCCCACACCCACAGCGACACACCTACTCCGACAAGGCAATACCTCCAAATAGTGCAACTCCCTGGGCCAAACATACTCAATCCACTACAGGGACTAATGAGGGAGATATATGAGGACAGAAGTAGTAGAGGGAGAAAGTGTGACCAATGTACGTTGTCAACTGTTTTGGAAGTAAGGCATCTGTATCCACCTCTCCCCAACCATCACCACCCGACAGGGATGTGTCTCTGTGTAGCTCTGGCTGTTCCGGAACTCATCATGTAAAGCAGGCTGCCTTCAAACTTACAGAGTTCTGCCTATTTCTGCCTCCAGAGTACTACTGTGTCACCATGCCAGCACCAAAGTATATGGCAACATCCATATGAAACTCAGTTCTGTGTACACTGAATATATGTCAAAAAACTAGTGGTGGGTAATTTTGGGGGGATTTGAGACAGGGTTTCTCTGTATAGCCCTGGTTGTCCTGGAACTCACTCTGTAGACCAGGCTGGCCTCAAACTCAGAAATCTACCTGCCTCTGCCTCCCAAGTGCTGGGATTAAAGGTGTGTGCCCTTTACCACTGCCGAGTGGTAATTTTAAAAAACCCAACAACCAGTTAACTTACTGATTTTAGAAAAGATGAAAATTTTCAAAAGCAAAATTCTAATAAGCATACTGTGTTAGAGGCAAATTCTGCAGAGTGGATGCTTGCTAACTTGCCCAGATTGTTGGGCCTAGAGATGTAAACCCAGACTTTGTAGAGCAAACTAGGCCTTTCCAAGTGCAAGAAATTAAAGATTCAAATACTTCCCTTTGAGACTGCCCAGTGACCCGGGAGATACTCGTTAGAGCTGCCCAACAACCATATTTAAATAGCAGCTCTCATTACGTAAGGTTTTGGGAAGTCTACCGTGTGCAGGAATTTCAGGGTGGAATGTTTGGACAGCTTTGCTCTAGGTCAGATCTCCTCCCGGCCCCCATAGTTACAGTGGCATAGTCAGAAATAAGATTTCTTGATTCACAGCTCCAAACATCTGGCAAGAGTCAGATCCTCTGAAATAACCCAGTCTCTAAATCATCTTCTTGGAGTTGCTATGGAGACCAGTACAGTGCAGGAGAATGAAGAGGTCAGGTTAAAGGATGAAGGTCAAATTCCTGAGAACCTCAGAGCCACAGGAAAAGCGGTGCTGAGAACACGTTTCTGCTCACATTCCTCCGATGGAAATAGCCATGGAAAAGATGAAAGGCGGCTGGGACTGTTTATTTCTCCACAGCGACAGAAAGAGCTGGAACAGTGGTACATAATTGATACCTCATCATTCTTTAACATGTCTCTGCTGCCAGCCCTGCCTACAGCATTTTAATAAGCCTAGAATCACTGGACGCCATCCCTGCCCGAAGGGATGGGTGTATCTGTTCTCAGCTCTGAGGACTGCCTGCCCTTGTTTATTAACTGTGAGGCTTCAGTTAAAAAAAAAAAAATATGTTCTTGCCTGGAGATGGGGTACTCCCTACTCACGCCCCCAAACAAGCGTGACCAGACAGTCCTTTGTGCTAATTCCATACTCCGGTAGCTTTAGCCATGAGCAACTGAGGACTCCTGGCTGAAACCGTTAACCCTTTCCTCTCTTTCCTCTGCAGTTCCTACTCCATCTTAAATACAGTATCATCCAGCTCACTCGCGTTTGGTGACGGGGCGTTAGAGAGGCGACAGTATGAGGATCAAGGTCTTGGGGAGACAACACCCCTCACTATCATCTGCCAGCCCATGCAGGTAGGGCTGATCGTGAGGGTCATGTCCTGGAATCTAATCCTGATGGTTTTGTTGTTTTGTGTAGTCAGAGCCTGCCCTAGAATTTATTATGTAGATGGGGCTAGCCTCAAACTCAGCTATTAAAAGGCATGTGCTACCACCACCCAGCTAATCAGGATGCTTTGAAGACCATCCTCAACACTGACCTTGCTTCTTCCAAAGGGTCCCTAACCTTATGAGGGGGGAGAACACAAGATCACAAAGACACACAACAATCCAAAACTAGGACTCGATGGGTGAGGGTACTGACTGTGGACATCGCCGTGTGAATTTGAGCTTGGAAGCAAGGCCATCCCAAAGAAAGAAGAGGAGGCTGTCTCTCTACTTGTATCAGTAGAATGAGGTTCTTAGCATGGTAATTGGCATAGTGAGAATTCAGCATACTGGGGACACTTTGGGGACAGGCTAGAGAAGGGAGTAGGAGTAGTTGTCAAGCAGACAAATTGTAACTTCAACATGTGAAGGATGAGAAGGGGCATGTGCTTTGTCTAGAGCCCAGGGTTTGAATTAAGGAACATCAGGAGAGCAGGTGGCAAAGCTCACCGTGCCAGTCCACACATTAGTCCTGGCAAAGCAACAAGAAGCCAATGGAAGAGCGTTGGTCAGCAATGACCTAGCAGGCTGAGGCAACTGGAAACATCCAACGCATGAGCAAGAAAGGATGTAGAACCATCTATGCAGTTCCACTAGCAGCTGTGGAAACAAGAAATTGTCTCAACTTGCCTGTGTCACCATATGTGGTGCAGCTGTCCCCCCTGAGCCCATTCTGGAAATGCCAACATAGATGCAGCCCAGATAGCAGCACATATGATGATTAGAATATTCAAAGCCTGGCTGGAGAGATGGCTCAATGGTTAAGAGCACTGACTGCTCTTCCCGAGGTCCTGAGTTCAATTCCCAGCAACCACATGGCGGCTTATAATTGTAATTCCAGTCCTAGTGAGTTCTCTCACCTCTGTGGACACTGCAGTCACCTGGTACTCATACATGCATGCAGGCAAAACACCCATACTCATAAGTAATAAATAATACAATTGTAGAAAAAAGAACATGCAAAGCAGACACATGTGTGACGATAAAATTCCTCCCTCCCAGAAAGAGCTGATGACGCATCTCTTTGGAGGAGACAGCTGTCTTTCTAGATGACTGTCTCTACATTAATGGCTGGCTTGACCTGTGAACTGCACCTTGAGTAACCCTCCTGTTGCAGTAGGGGGAAGCAAAGAGCATAGTATTTTCATAATTCCTCATACTTCAAAGCACCTACAGGTATCTCATGGGAGCCCGAGAATAACTTATGAGGTTTACGGGATGAATTTATTAGCCCCACTTTACAAACAGGCCAGACTAACCTCATGGCATTCAGGGAGATTATCAGAGTTATACACTGGCAGGATATTTCCTAGAACTCGGCTCTCTTGGCATGCATGCAGGGTAGTCTGCAATGCCATATGGGTCCTTAGGTTTTTCTTTCTCTGCAGCCCCTGAGAGTCAACAGCCAGCCAGGGCCCCAGAAGCGATGCCTCTTTGTGTGTCGGCATGGGGAGAGGATGGACGTTGTATTTGGGAAGTACTGGCTATCCCAATGCTTCGATGCCAAAGGTGAGTCTCTCCGTTTATTCACTTTGACTCTCTGTGGTTTCATTTACCCACAGTTAGAGAGTCCAAAACTAGCTGTCTTAGTTAGGATTTCTATTGCTGTGATAAAACACCGTGATCAAAAAAGCAAGTTGGGGAGAAAAGGGTTAATTCATCTTACACTTCCACATTGTCGTCCATCACTGAAGAAAGCCAGGGCAGGAACTCAAACAGGGCAGGAACCTAGAGGCAGGAGCTGATGCAGAAGCCATGGAGAGGCACTGCTTACTGGCTTGCTCAGGGATGACACCACCCACAATGGGATGGGCCCTCCCATATCAATCAGTAATAAAGGAGATGTTCTACAGGCTCGCCTATAGCCCAGTCGTATACAGTTATTCTCTTACTTGGGGTTTCCTCCTCTTAGATGAAATAAAACTAGCCAGCACACAAGCAGTTCGTGTGTTTTATATTGCAATCCCTCCATTCTGGGTCACCTGATAAAAATCTCAGGCTCTCCAACTGGGTCCCACCCAGGTCAGGTCATCATCCATTTTCCCAGTGTCTCCAACAGTATACATGCGACCCACCTACTCGTTGGTTCTCAAATCTACTTTCAGAGTATCTCAGCCTCATTGGCCTCTCCTCACTTGGTCACACAGATACAGTTTCCTCCTTTTGTAAGAAGCCCGGGTATAATACAATAAGATATTTTGTGACAGACGTCTATGTAACTTTCATTACAGTGTATCATTTTACTCTTCCTCATTACTGCGTCTGATTTGTAAGTTAAATGTTATCATAGGGGTGTTTGTGGTGGTGGGGGGTAAGAACATAGTCTGTTCAGGATTTCACACTGTCTATGCTTTCAAGCCTCTAGTGGGGCTCTTGGGATACACTTCCTGTGTCTAAGGGTGTCTGCTGGTGGTTGGTGGGCTGCACAGCAATGCATACCTGTCACGGCCTCTAGGGGGCACCGTCAAGCTACTTTTATGTACAATTGAATAATTGAAGCTATTTTATGTACAATCATTTTTAAAGCTGTTGAAAATTCTTGGAATCTCAAAGTTCTTGATTGTTTCAACTCCTAGGGGAGAAATAAGCATTCTTGTCCCCATTCTATAAACTGAAGTATCAAGGAGCCAAGATGTTCCTGGCTCAGCTTTCTGAGGGCTGGAATTCCAGGTAGGCCCCTGCTGGTTGCAGATGTGGCCCCTGCCGAGGAATGAGAGAAGGAAAGTCAGGTCTTGCCCGTGTTCATACAGCAAAATCAGTACAGAGAAATAGACTGTTTCTGTGACCAAAATTCCTGCTTAAATCACCGTGGTCCCATCCAGTTCAGTTCTCCCTTGAGTGACACTTTAAGAAGAGGAGGCTTGCCATTGTCTGGTTGTTACCTTGACTGAGAAATCTCCTCATGTCTGTCATCAGCAAACGGTAGTGGATTCTAAGTCAATCTTCTGAAGAGAAGGTGTCAGATTCAATAGTTCCCACTGGCTTCAGATGGTTTGATTCAGTGTCTTTGACCAAGAAGGAGATGGGTCAGGATCACCGAAGAAAGTTTCAAGTAAACAAGAAGTCTCTATAGCCTTTATTTGATCTTCTTCACCCCCTAGGCCGCTACATACGCACCAACCTGAACATGCCTCACAGCTTACCTCAGCGGAGTGGCGGTTTCCGGGATTACGAGAAAGATGCTCCAATCACCGTGTTTGGGTGTATGCAAGCAAGACTAGTAGGTAAGGGTTCTCAGTGACTGTGTAGCATCTTCTGGCTCCCTCAACAGACCCACACCACGGGTGTGCAAACACACTTTGTGGGACTTTCCTTTTTGTTTGGTTGGTTGGATTTTTGAGACAGGGTCTGAGAGACCAGGGTGACCTAGGACATCAGATGTTCCTGGCTCAGCTTTCTGAAGGCTGGAATTCCAGGTAGGCCCCTGCTGGTTGCAGATGTGGCCCCTGTCGAGGAATGAGAGAAGGAAAGTCAGGTTTGGTTTACTGACTGCTGTAGCAGATGTGTCAGTTGCTAGCTCATGACAGCAGCATCTGCCAGTGTGATAGAAGATGTGAGGGTAAGGGAACGGTGCAGGGGACTAAGATAACAGAGACCCAAGGGTGAAGGTCTATGGAAACGCATGTGTGTGTTGTGGATGACTGTTAGACTCTAAGACTGGCTAAATAGCAAACTCTACACCGAGTCTGAGGAGAATATTGAAGAAAGACAAATGGTAGAATGAAGCAACGAGGGAGGGACGGAGAGAGGAGGAGGAAGAAAAGAAAATTAAGAGGCCAGATGAGGGGGATGGTTCTTGGTGTAGAGGACAATAAACAAAACCACAGATGTCAGACATAGCATCGAGAGAGCCCTATGAGACACGGTCAGTAAGTAAAGGCGCTTAAGGCAAAAGCCTTGTGACCTGGGTTCAATCCCTGGAACCTGCATAAAGGTGGTAGGAGGGAATTAATTCCATAAAGTTGACTTCTGACCTCCATATGTACACATTCTCTCTCTCTCTCTCTCTCTCTCTCTCTCTCTCTCTCTCTCTCTCTCTCTCTCTCTCTCTC